ACACATAGACCTCTATGTTATCAACGTAGTTGAAGTGTGGTGCCCATTCATCCAAAAGCCATCATTGATATAGAATTTGTCAGGCGAAATGTTGAATGTAGCAAACGCACTTATGTTTTCATATCGAAACAAAAATCTTAAGCCATATCCATTAAATGAGACCTTTTGATTTGATTTTTCTGTGTCTATGCTGTTCATTTTTACTTTCTTTTGGTCCATCTACACACACATACATATGTATATAGAAGTTCAGTGCGTTAGAGAATTGATTTTGGTTTACAATGCGGTTGGGATATGAAACTGGCTAACAACTTACCAACGACCATATTTCCATCAGCATCTTTACAGATTCACATAAAATAAACGATGTTTTCTGCTTACAGTGAAATAAACACCATTAGCAAATTACAAATTGATGGCATTAAATGTAAATCTTTTCATTAAGTTAACTAGTGAAATTCATTGCATTCGGCTATGCGTTTTGTTTCATATTCTGTAATTGATAATGTGTATTTTGCCATATTGTTCTGCCTTTGCCATATACACACATAACCACACGAGAAATAAGAATGTGATGGACTTGATATTTGAATATGTGTGCGGCGATGTGATTATTCATACTTGAATACACACATATCACACCCATAAATGTCCATTGTTCAAAGATTGTTTGGGTGTGTTTGTGTGTAAGAGAGAGAGAGAGAGAGAGAGAGAGAGATGGATAGAGTCAGAGTGATATTTCCTTATCCATGATTCGATTGCGTTAGAACGTGGAATATAGAAGAAAAATCCTGTAATCAAATTCAGACTTCAAAAAAGCAAGCGTGACACACGTTTTGCCAAAGAATGCGGAGACAATGATACGATTGAAGACATCAAGAGTGTGGAAAAAAAATCCACCACGTAAAATGTATCCAAAGAGATTAGATAGTAAATCAATTTATTACATGGCGTAAGACATGACACATTCAATGTTTGTCTAGTTTTTCCCTCTTTCTGCTTATCTAAATCTCTTTCATTTCTATTGAATGAGTTTCTCAAATAATCGATTAACGTCACTTGAATAATGGTCATATCAAATAAAAATGACAGCCTGTTGTGTATTTAAAAAAAAAGAAAATAATAAAATACGAAGAAAAGAATTCTTTTATAGTTGCTGTCGCATTCATTCCCATTAGTGTCTCGGTCGCTCACTCAGCGTATTCGGGTGATCTACGATTGTGTGAGCACTTGTCTTTTGTTGACTTGTCAAGAGCTTTAGAGGAAAAAGAGACGCAGAGAGATAGAGAGAGAGATAGAGAGAGAGAGAGGGATTGAGAGATGGAAAAATATTCATTCTTTTATGCTTTCGATTCTAAAGTTTTAATTAGTGCGAAAATCCAAAGAAGCTGCTTTTGTCATCGCCGAACAAATGGCTGTGAAGTTTGATTTTTCAATTTGCCTCATCAGCTGAATTTTTTTTGCTCATTGTAGTTGTTGCTGTCTTTTTCCTCTCTTTCTCCTATGCTCTCGAAATAAATCACCTTCTCTGCAGCATTTTATTTCGTAGTCACTTTTGCAGTGTAGTCATCGTATTCTAATAAGAATGGGTGTTCGATAAAATTAGCAAGAATATTGAGGAAAAAAGACCATTGGAATTTTTTTTCCTCTTCGTCTCTGTTTTCTTTGTTTGGTGTTCGCATCAAATTGTGTCATTTTCAATGTTCTAGTTGAAATGAGATGAAATAACGGATTATAACATCGAAGCAAATTCATGTCAATGTATGCATACTCTATACACTCTGTGTATTCGTTATAAAAATGAAATTTTTAATGATATTTAGAAAACTAAAATCCATTTCCATGTTGTTGACATGTTTTGGTGCTATTGCTAGTGTGTTTTTGTTGCTTATAGTGGTGATTGTGGCAATGGATATAGCAATAACAACAACTATAGACGGGCATTTTGCGTTTATATCGTAAAATTCCACAAAAATATTTTCCAAAGCGTCGAACCATTTCAATTACAACGCTCGAATTTTTGATTTATTAATGATGGCAGGATAAATAGAAAATCGAACAATTAAAAACACTTTGGCTTGTGTTATTTTGTGTGAAAATATATTTCGGATATTCGTGGCGGGGTCGGTCAGTTTGCCGATGGCCAAAAACATTGGAACGACACAGCAACAGAGAGAGAAATGGGGAGGAGGAGAAAGAGCGAGAGAGAGAGAGTCTTTAGCACATGCACAAAAAGTGAATGGGACAGAGAAAGAAAGAGATATTGTGCATGTTTATTTTTGCTTACTGGTTCAAGGGAGCATACGACCGAACCGAGACCAAACAACAAGTGAAAGCATTAATACCGAAATGTCGGCCTTTATTAAATTCAACTCTAATCGTTTTTAATGCCATTATGTTAGTAATGGATGCACGACGAGAGAAAATCATCGTCAAAATCGCTTTTATTGTACGGAATAAATTTGTGAGTTTTTCCAAAATGCAGTGTACTGCACATTATGCAAACGGGTACATCAGCAAGCGTCAAGCACAATAAAACGTGTAGGGACATGAAAAAATGCATGTCAAACGAATTCGATTTTGATTTGTATTCTATTCTCGACACGGCTCACACTCACTACAAATGTGTAGACTTTATTGAGGTGGTGAATGAATGGTGCGAGGTCGAGGATTCGCTTTAGTAAATCGAGATAAAACGAATCGAAATATACATAAAATTGTTTGTATGCAATGTTAGCAAACAATTTACACCATTCAACCAGAAAACAAATGATAGCATTATACATCTTATGTTCGACCGATAACAATCCTAGCTCGTTAAATCAATAAACCGATGCAAATGCATCTGCCAACAATAGATGTTGGTTCGATATATACAAAACAATTATTATCACGAATGTCTATCTATGATGTGGTTTTGTATAAAATTTTGTTTTTAGTCGACGACAAAAAGTCAAAGGAGTTAAAGAAAGAAAGGGGGCGGGGAGATAGATGAAAATGCAGCAAAGCAAAGCAATTGGAGTATAGCAATGAAGCAAGTATGCGCCGTTGTCAGCGATCAATTTCAAGTCAAAGATCATTGAAAATATATAGACAATTCACTGAGTCAATCTATTGACGGCAATGATATGGCAAAAAGCGGTGAACAATTGCAAAACAACAGATATACAAACTTCCGTTTTAGCAACGACGACTCAAACACAGTTCAAGGGTGTGGGTAAAAGAGAAAGAGAGGAAAAATGAATCGAAACGAGTCGAAGTTGTTGAAAATATTTTGAAATGCAAGAAGTATTGTCGATCAATTATTGAGTCGTTCATATGGATTTCTAGATTCTCATTGAACATTAGAGTGGTTCGATTTTGACATTTTTTCAAGAATCAAAAATCGTACCCCTATAACCTCTGTAGGCATCAAACAGGCAATAACATCAAACTTCAATACAAAATTCCACATTTTTTGTGTTTTTTTTAATGAAAAAAGTGTCGAAAATTACTTGTATTGCAAAATTACGGCAGATTCGGCTTATTGAATTTTTAAAGTGCTCAAAATTCATCAAAATTTGATTTTTTTCAAAAACCACCTGGAGCCGCGCATCACCAAAAATCATTTTTTTTTTTTCGAATTCGTTGTTATAGTCATGTTTCTATGACCTTCCTACAGAGGTTATAGGGGTAAGATTTTTGATTCTTGAAAAAATGTCAAAATCGAACCACTCTATTCAACATACAGGCATACATATACTAACTCATCGACACACACACACACACACACAAGTGTGTAATGTAAACAGGCTGGCATGAGCAAAACCGCATGCTGATTAACTTGGTACAAACCACCAATCTACAATAGCTAAAGCATGGGAATCAAAATAAAGTGAACGATGAACAATGCGGAACAAATGGAATCGGCAAAAATAGTAGAAACGTCGAACGTTAGCAAATGAGCCAAGTGAAGGAAAAACAGGGGGGAAATGAAATAAAGTACGAAAATTCACAATTGCAGACAGCGAACGCGACGACACATACGTAAAACATACACTATAAAATAAACGCAATTAATTTCCATTCGTTGGTGCAACGAACATTGCAATCAACCTCTCCGCATCGCTTTTTCTACCGACTAGAGTGATATGTGTACATTGATGCGATGTGCAGATCAAGAGCGAATCACATACCACAAAGAATAGTAAAAATTCCCAGCATAAATAGATCTTTCGTGCTACAAATTTATTCGTCGCCTGTATATATTATCAGCACACAACTGATACTGCTGCTACTACCAACAAAAATTTCATACAAAATGACAGACTGAGATATAATTGAGAGAATGTCTGCGTGAAAATTGCATTCGAGATATAGGGCATTGCATTTGACTGACAAAATGAGGTGTATTTCACGTGTTTGTTGTGTTGTGTGATATGTCTGTCGCACATAGGATGGTTTGGTCGGTCGATATTTTGGCCGGTCGGTCACACGACGATATTAATACAACAAAAATGGCAAAATCCGTTGAAATAAAGATTTATGGGAAATGTCGCCAATGCTTCAGCACAGTTGACATTGTATATCTGTGCATCAGTTTCAATTCGTTTGAATGTTTCCGATGTTGAATGAGCCTGTATGGGGGTGGATGATGTGCAGATATGCAAGAGAATCGTATGCTAAGTACGAACAAGCAAAGCATGCAATATATGGCCGTGTGTGATGGATGTGTATTTGTATAACCTGACAAAAAACTGTTCGGCTATTTCTTTTCTCGTTCAGTATCTCTTTTTCTCTCTCTTTCTCCATCCACTTTTCATTGCAATTTAATATGATTCTATTTATTTATTATTTTATGGGACGGAATTTTGTATGAGTATGCTTTATGATTTTCCTCAACGATTGTTGATGACTTGTTCTATTTTGTTCTTTAATATTTTTTGACATACGAGAATTGTTTTTTTTTTTTTTTTTTCAAATGTGTGTGAATATTTAATATTTAATTTGTGAGCAATTACCTTGATCGTCACTCAGCAACGGTATTTCCGTTTCCAACTTCACATAATTTACAAGTTCAAAACTTAATAAAATTAAAAGCACAAATTTTAAACACAATGTCGTGGTCGTCATTGTTTCGCCAGTGTACTTTGTTCTTTTGTTGCTTATGTTTCATTCGTTTTTGATCTCAATGGAAAATGAAATACAATTTTTTGTTTTCGTAGTCTCCCCTTCTTGTCTGTCCTTTAATAAAAAAATAATTCGTTGATTAAACCATAACGCGTGGTATGACGTTGAATTCTTTTTAGAACGTTCAATGCTTGTTTTCACCGAAAAAAAAACGATATTTAACTGTCTTTCACGTACGTTTAAAAGCAATCGACCTGTTTGCTTTTTTCAAGCTGTTTCTTTCTGTCTATTCTGTTCGGCCATTATGCTTTAAAAAATTGTTCTTTCCTATTCAAATATTAAAGCAAAATATGCGCTATTCTTTTGTCGCTTGCCAATTTATTAACAATTGATTGAACAGCAACGCAAATGAAAGAAACAAAAGAGACGGGTGACGTGGAGGTGAAATTCATGAGAATGGGAAATGAGAAAAATATTCGACTTCTCGCGCGCAATTCTGCAATTCAATTGCTACTGCTGCGATTTTCTTTTCATTTCTAAATTCTCTTAATAAAATTTGAATATTTCTCTTCGACACTTCTTGGATCGTTGATTCATTTTCTTTAACCGTTCGCTGAAAGAGGAGTGAGAGTTTTTTCAATCTGTCTCGATGTATGTGAGTGTGTATGTGATCTGGTGAATTTAATTCAATTATGGTAAAAAGAACATTGAATTTGAATGTTCTTCTTTGTCTTCGTTTCATTTTTTTAATTAATAATCGCGTGCGCGATAAAGAAAAAAACTTTTAATGCATCTTTCTTGTTTACGTTTCCCAGAAACGAAAGTTCTGTTTTTTTTTATCTTGTTTTCTGTCGTTAATTTATTCGCTGGCATTTTTTTTGCTCGCCAAATATTGGTGACAACTTTCGGGTGCCAAAGCATGAAAAATAAAATTTGAGTGACAAAGTTTGCAAAGCAAAAACGGAAATTTTCATCTCTCTTGTTTCTTTATTGCTTTCTCGTTTTCCGTGTCACTTTTTGATATGGTTTCTATAATGTATGTGTGTGAATGTGTTTTTTGCAGTCATCGATATTTTTTTATTGTTATTTTTGTTGCTGTTTCTTCTTGAATAAAAGCGCATCGCTTAATACGTTCGATGCGAGTGATATATTGGCATGGCCAGATTACATGTGCAATGTGTGCCTGTACACAACAAAATAACAATTACAGTTTATTGGCTCACGTGGAATTCGAAAAACAAGTAACCGACAACTGCATAATGGGCAAACGAGGAAGCTTTTTTCACCACTGACTCGGTATGTGAGAACATGGCGAGAGAACGACAATTTCTACAAACAAATAAAAGATAGAAGCGGAGAGAGGGAAAGAAAGAAAAAAGAATTAACGGGTAAAAGCAGAGAACGTGAAATGAATTCGTGGCAAACTTTGATATGAAACACCGTCAAAAAATGCCTCAGCTTGGATTATAGCTGGCGGATTATTCAAATGCGACTCACGTTGAAACACTGTGACGAATACAACAACTCGGGTGCAAGGTAGCAGAAAGGTTGAATTTTTGTTGCTGTTGTTGTTATTTTTCGCTCTTTCTCATACTTATACTTTCTTTATAGCTTTCTCTCTCTGTCTCTCTGTATCTCTTATCTTGTTCACTATCATTGTCTTTTTTGTTGCTACCGTTGTTATTGTTGTTGAAAAAATGGAAGGCTAATTGCAATTTGGAAACGAGTTCGTTTGTTCATTTTTTGTGGTTGCAAGAAGTTTTGAAAGTGCAAGACATTTGATCGGCACAAAACACACGTTTTTTTTCTTGTCTTGCATTGTTTTATTTTTATTCGCTCTGTTGATTATTACTGGCAAACGACAAAATGTTATTGCGCTCAGTCGTTAATTTTAATCGTTGCGTGTTACAATTAATTTGTTGATATCGAACACTTGAATAAATGTAAACACACAGAAACTCCAAAACTCTACCGAAAACTCTTGTTCTTCCTCTTGAAAATTTAAACGGAAAAATGTTTATCGTTTGAAAAGCATTTTCCGTTATAAAACAAAATAAAATTGAACAAAAAAAAATCGGGCTAAACTGACGGAAGTCGCCTCTCTCTACATACACTCTCGACTGTCGTACTTCACGAAATGCCGTACAAAATTTATCGGGTAAAATTATCAACCGAATATAATTTTGCTTACAACAAGGATACACCAGAGATACGTTTACATCGATGGAGTGTTTGTTACAAACTGATTGTGAGTTGCCTCACAAAACCGTTGAATGCGATAGCATTGTATGGTTTTTTTGGATGGAAAATATTGTGCGATTCGATTGCGAACGATGAAACATAAGGTTCTCGCACTTTGCAACTGGATAGATGGATAAAATTTCGAAACTATATGATGGAGATTCGTGACTGTATGCCGTTATGGCCCGTGTGTCGTCAACACAGCATCCAATACACAGAGCAAGCACGATGATGCTGTTGCTGTTGCTGTTGTTGCTGATGCAAACACACCGGGGGAAAGAAAATGCCCTTCGCTCTGCATCGCATGCTGTTTTGGCCATTGAGTGTTGGCATTGGATGCCGAGAATGGTTGTTTATTGAGAGCCTTGGTCTCTCTTTCTCTCTCTCTTTATCTCACTCACTTTCTCTCTATTTCAAGCTCACGCTAGACTCGATGCTTCACAAAATGCACACTAAAATGCACACAGAGTGCACACATTAAAATATGAACAGAATGTTTGGTAGTGTTTCAGTGCATTGATAAAGGCGCCGGCGCATTAAATTTGTTTTCATTACGTAAGTTATGAGAAAGTACGGTTGTTCAGTTTTTATGTTCATAAGCTATGTGAGAGTTGTGTGTAACGTATTTACCATACGCAACTTACTTGTCTTTTTCTTCGGCGAGAATGCTAAAGTTGAGTAAAAAAAATAAATAAATACAGACAACTATGGATAGGAATATATACTGTTCGATTCCCTTTCTCGTTAAATTGATAGCTTTTCTAACGGAATAGAATAGAATTGAATCGGGTTTTTAGTATTTTGTATTGTCCTTCGCCGTACGTCACATATTTTCCATTGTCAGTCGCATATTTTGCGTGCCATATATATATCTACTAGAGACTGTAAGCGAGAGAGTATCGAGTACTTGTAGCTGGTGTGTAATGATGACTGTTTCCACATCATATACATTCAGAAGGGATCTATTATGACACACGAACATGCCACATTTTCAGTTATATTCTTTACGCGTTTTGTTTCATCACCTAATATAGCATTTTATGATTGTATTTTGGTACCTGTGCGGTGCACTGGAACGCTTCTTTCTATTGCTTCTATCTTCTCTGTTTTCTGTGTATGATATATTTGTTGTATGCATACATATATTCCACTTTTTTTTGTTCACATTTTCAATTTAAAAATCATCTCTTGCCGTGTCTCAAAGTGATGGGACTTGCTGAGCGCTTTATTCATAATGCGTACCTATTGAATGCGTATGCGATGAGCATGGTGTAATGCATTTTAAAGGAAAACTACGTCAAATGGTAATATTGGCGTTGAGCTCACATAATGTGTTCAAACTTTATCATAGTCACACAACGGGTGAACGATCCAACAACCAAACGATGAATGAGAAATACGGTGCATGTAAGTGAGAGCAAAAAATATAATTTGAATAGAAAATAGAAAAATGGAAAAAACGTATCGAAGTACTTCGAAAGTGAGACGCAAGATGAAAGATGTGAATGTGAAATAGAAAATATGATACAAATGCATATTTTTCCTCACATCCGCACTTACATATCATTCATTCTTCAGATACAGAGGTAAATGAAAGAGAGAAAGTCTGAACCACATATGGTAGAGACGCACGTGAAGCATTGAATTGAACAGGTAAGAAACGTAAATAAGGTTGCTTAACGACCACTAGATAGAGATGGCAAATAATACAAAATAACAATATAAAAGATGTCAGGTTGTTCTGGTATTGAAAATGGCAGTGGAAATCGCAAATATAAATCCAAAGACGAATTTCACATTCATAAACAGAAACACAATGCTAACGCATTTGGCATCAGCATCAGCATCAGCATTGAAACAGAACTGAGCACAACATTTCAATTGTTTCACATTGTTTGTTTGAACGCTTCAAAGACTCATATACTTTCAAATACAATTTCTCTCTCAGTGCATATTTTGGTGTTGAACAGTGTCTAAATTGACACGAATCATGGCATGTCATTTTGAGATTCCTTTTACACACAAAAAAAAGAGAGAGAATAAAACACAAACAGACCAGCTTCCATTGCGCATTGTGTTGATCTTCGCATTAATCACAACCAAAACGTGAGACAAGTTTATTGGAACTAAGGTCGACTAACCAACAGTTTTTTTTGTTGTTGTTTTTTATTTGTTGGGTTTAGTTTCGATATACCCACATACAATATATCGATATATAGTCGTAAATTGTGCGATTCTCGGCAGTCGTAAATTGAGCATGCTTTAGACACTGGCGTCTAGAGAATATTACGGACATATTTATAATATGCGTTCAATGGTTGTGCACTCCATGCAAACGAAGGAAAATTACAAAATCGAAATGCTATGGAACAAAATGAACATTTATGGGCTGAATGCACGCTATTTCGCTTTTGCACACACGACAACACATCAGCGCATCTCGCCACATTCAAATTCAAACGGTGCACAATAGAACACGTCAAATTTACCCATTTTCTGCACAAGCAAATGATTTAGATTTTCGAGAAAGTGACAATCGAAAGGAAAGAAAGAATAAATGGATGCAAAAAAAAGTCAACATAATAATAACAACAACAGTTGAAGCAATGCATTGTACAAATATAGCATCGGTCGCTCAATTTCACATACTACCTTCACACACACATACACATGACAAAAATATTAATACGTTCATCGACACAAACGGCAACAACGGCAGGAACAGAAAACCAAATTGAGCTACGTATTAGAGAGAAAGCAGATAGGGCGAGATGGAGGGAGAGAATGGAAGAAAGTAGAGAAAAGACAAAGGAATAATATCATATGCCATTCAAAATAGAGATAATTTATGTTGAACGATGATACTCATTCAAACAACCAGACAAAAGTTTAATTTTGAAAATTCAAATTTCCCATCTCTCATCGTATTTTAACGTTGGATTTAACATGTGTCAGAATGAGGTTGCTAATAACATAACAGTATTCAGTATTCACGCGATTCAGGGGCAATATATTTCGTTTTGGGGGCGCTGTGACGACTTTTTTCACGAAGATTCGTCGTCATCATCATTTTTTTTTTTGTAATGTTCTTGGTCCGTTTGATGGTGCTGTTTCTTTTGTTGTGCTAAAAGAGAAAAATTTTGCTGTTGAATAGAGAAAACAAAAACATTCTTACCCAATGGCTTATCGCAAACACTTCTAATTACAATTATAAATGCGCATTTTCTGAATAATGGTATCTGTTTAAAGGTTTCCGCTCTTTTTTTCTAGATTTTTTTTTTTTGCTATTTTTTGTCGGTCCGTTCATTTATCTGCATTCGCATTGGAATTAAGAATTTGTTTGTGGATTGATAAGGTACATAACCCATGACTCATTTGAATCCATTCAAATGGGCGTATGTGTGTGTATGTGTGTGCTTCACTTCCGTTTGCAAATTCTAAATGGAATTTTGTCTCTGAATTTTTATCATTTTAAGGTATTTTGTATATAATTAATTTGTTTCACAAATACTTTTGTAGATTAATTTTATTCTACAAATACTCGCTCGCTAGCCAGATAGACTGTCTGTTCTATCTTTGTGGACCGTTGAAAATAAATCGTTTAATGAGAAATGAAAACAAAATTTCATTACAAGTAGCATTTGAGTGGATAATTTTCCCAGACCTTTGCTATTTTAGGCATTATTTGGATGAAGTATTAAATGTGATAGGAAAAAATAACGGTTTTAGAAAACACAAAGATGCATATCGATTTTGGTATGGTATGTTTTTTTTGTTTGCCCTTTCCAGAAATAATAAATAGCATAGAAGATTGAGATAAATAGACAAAAAAGGCCAGCAGATTTCATTGAGTAGCGTGATAAAATGACAAATTAATCAAAATTTGTAACAAATAAGATTTGAAACTTTCCCTATCGTCGTGCGGCCAGTTTTGAACAGAAACAGATAGAGATAGAGATAGAGAGAGAGACATAGAAATAGATATTTTTTTCAATAGCTCTAAACTTTTCTACTAATGTGGAAAACCAACCGGTACCATGTGTGCCTGGTAGATATGCTGGTTGGCTGACTGACTGACTGCTGTTTTGAATTTGTGTGTATGTGTACGATTAAAAAAAAAATGAAACATGACACTTTGCAAAAGTCTCTCAACGGATGCACGTGGCGCTGTGAATGTTTTCGCTTTTTTACATGTGTAACAAAAACATCAACAAAAAGGAAGCGAATCGCACACACATACTCTAGCAATTGAACGTACAAAACGAACGAAAGAGACAAGTGCAAAAACAACAAATAAATAAACTGAAACATGGTTGGCCTGTTAAGTACAGTGTACAGAGAGCGAGAGAGAGAGAGAGAGAGAGGGAGAGGAAAATGGAATAAAAGACACAATAAAGAAAATTACGTAATATACCGAGCGAACGGAATAAGGAGAGCGAAGGCAAAATCAAAAGCTTTTGGTGTATTGCTGCGTGGCGTTTATGACTTTGTTCGAAATAATAAAAACATTGCATCGGCTGCTTTGAAAAATCACTTAACACTGTAACTACGAACGTAAATTATAGACAAAGTGAAAAAGCAACAAAATCGAAAACTAAATTGTTTTCGGGGGTACCGAAAGGAAGATGTTAACCAAATGTTACAACAATCGCATATGAGTTTGATATGTTTTGTCGTTGTCGGCGAGAGAGCAAACGGCGTAACAAAAACTGTTGGTGTACACACACACACACACGGCAAATAGTCGGTGTTGAAAAACGGGAGTGAATATATTTTATATGTACGCCTGTGTGTTTGTTCGTACGCGCTGATGGGCGATGGAGAGAAAGATATGTGAATGGGTTTTGCATATATTTTAACTCCATCGACATGGAAGCAATCATAATTCACCAGAGCAAATTTCACTAAATGCGTTGAAATTTTCGACATAAAACTTCTTGCGCTTTCATTTAATTGTTTTTAAGCGAATATGCGAATCAGCACCGTTGCAAAATTAATGGATATGTTTTCATTGGGCGGTATGCGTATGCAATGGGATATTCTGACAATATCTGCTGCGAGAATACGATAAAAGCGTGAATGGGAATTCGCACGCTCTCTCTATTTCTCTCAAACACATT